ATGCTGCCTTCGGGACTCCAGCTCCGGACAAATGAAAGTAAAAAAAAAAAAAAAAGAAAGTAAAAAACCCATTAGAATGCATTAAAAACGGTTAATGCGTTCTAATGGGCGAAATACCTAATCGTCCAGCAAAGATACTCCATAGGGCGGCCATTTTCTGGTGCCTGTAAAGCGAAAAAGCCCTCCTAAACACAGTAGGGAGCCATTTTGCACAGCGGGCGGCCATTTTGAAACCCGACAATCAGCTGTTACCTGATCGTCATTAAGCGAAAAATCAGTTCCCGAAGCAGGGAACCAATCATCGTCAAGCGAAAAAAGCCCTTTGAAACATCATTTTGCAATTGCAATAGCGATCGCAAAAACATCATCATGAAGTGATTTCGTCATATAACGAGGTAATCGTCAAGCGGGGCACCACTGTACATTGGAGTAGGGTGTTTCATGTTGACTCAGAAACACACAAATTCTATCACACACCTGGACAAGGACTGGGTTGGACTTTGTGAAGGGGGAACATGATAGATATGCATCAAACCCTTAAATCAAGTTCAAACTGAGCTGGGCTAGCAGTGTACTATATGCCCTTTTACTTCTGAGGAAGCAATACTGTGGTTATTATAGCTGTTAGGGAGACTGCAGGAAAGAGACTTGCCTTCTTTTTACATCTGTCCCATATGATTTGATGTGTCTCCCATTCCTGGGTGGGGTCCTGCCAAAGAAAGTGGAGGAGGATCTGAAGATACTTTCTCTTCTTCCCTCCTTTTCAGACATGCTGCTTTAGGATTCAGATTCCTTTCTGTGAGAACAAATTAAAAGGGTATTTAAAACATGTCAGCATTTAACAATCGCAGTGTAGTATCTTCATCAGTTTTCCTACTATCTCAGAAATGCTTATTAAAATAGAAGTGCAAGCATTCTGGATCTCTGAATTCTACCTTTCTATCTATTTTATAGAAGGATGTGGTGGCGTTGTGGGCTAAATCGCAGAAGCCTCTGTGCTGCAAGGTCAGAAGACCAAGCAGTCGTAAGATCGAATCCACGTGACGGAGTGAGCTCTTGCCACCCTAGCAGTTCGAAAGCATGTAAAAATGCAAGTAGATAAATAGGTACCACCTCGGTGGGAAGGTAACGGCGTTCCGTGTCTAGTCGCGCTGGCCATGTGACCACAGAAACTGTCTATGGACAAACTCTGGCTCTATGGCTTGGAAATAGGGATGGGCACCGCGCCCTAGAGTCAGTCACAACTGGACTAAATGACAAGGGAAACCTTTACCTTTATCTATTTTATATTCACAGTCATCCTTTTTCTACTCTGTATCACATCCCTGCTTGTATTGTTTTGTGAACACTGATGGCAAATGTTCAGAGATTCATGGGCATTTTCAGAATTAGATATCTAATCCAGACCTTAGGACATCTTCCTAAGAAGCTCTTCTATTTTAATTAATGTTATTCTGCACTTCCCCACAACCCAGTACTGTATACCTTAGTAAATAGAATGGAGAATAACTGACCTCTGACTTGCTGCTCTAAGCTGAGGATAACAGCCACAGCTTGATGCAAGATCAAAAGTTTGGTCTGGGGCTTGTCACTTTTCAGGTGGAGCTGTACCATTCGGCCCAGCTCTTTGAAAGCCTCATTGATGTCACGGACACGGAGGCGCTCACGAGCATTGTTGGCCATTCTTCTTTCTTTTTCACGCTCTGCTTTTTGCTCCGGTGTAAGATCTTCATCATCATTATTGCTGAGAGGCAAACAGAACATGGTATTTTCTAATGGTGTAACAAAAACAGGTATTCTTCCAAAAAATGCATTTTACAGAATGAGCTTTGCTAGCAAGGACATTAGAACACATTTTTTTAGAAGTTTGAAGAGGATCACTGCTTTTCACATTACAGTGTCACAATGGGCTGTATATTTCATAATAACCTGTATTCTATTGTTAGTTGCAACTAGACTAATTGACTCAGTTCAATTTACATATGCATAAACCTTCCTTTCAGCAATTGGTTCAATGGCTGAAATCCAGTAGTAAGTCACAGCTAGAGTAGGCTCACGTAATCACTGGCAACTTGGTGATTCAACTTTTCCATGAGTTTCACTGATTCAATGGAGCTACTCTAGCTGTGTCTTTCTACTGGATTTCAACCACTGAGTCTACTCTTAATTCAGACCAGCAATTGATTCAGTGGGTCTAGTCTTAGCAGAAACTAGTAAGGGAATATTGGCCACAGTGTTTAAATCTCAGTAGTGCACGTATAGCAAAGACATTAGATCTGGCTCTTGTTTCTCTTATTGGGTGTCATTCAAATTATGTTTTGTTAAAACCACATTTGAGTGTACAAATGTTTCTACTACAATGGTATTCTACATATTACAGTAAAAAAAATTTTGGTGACTGGGCTTTCAATATGCATAATATATTTCTCTGCAGGTTTCCAGCTGATCGCTACTGAAGATCTGATTTAACCTGTAGCTTATCTGCCCTGCCTAAAATGAAAAGACTCTGGAATTTGTTTTGGTACCCCTTTCAGGAATTAATGTATTATTTAAAATGTGCAACTTTGAAGAGGATGGATGTTTCTACAAAAATTCAAGATGAAAAAAAGGCTGAAGTTGAAATCCTTCACATTAGAAGTAGGTAATAATGATGGTGGCAATGGTGATTCTTTTTTCCCCCTTTCTATTCTACTCTTCCCCTTCTCCTACCACATGTTCCATTTTGCTGACAATAAAAATGCCAGTCATTAAACAGCAAGAATATATCTGGGATGAATTTTCTGCTTTCTAGTTGCAATTAATGCTGGCTGCAAAGCTCAGTTATTTAGGTATCTCGCTGCAGGGCCACCAGAGATTGGGAGTTTGATTTCCCACTGTGTGTCCTGTGAACAGAGCCAGCTTGTGTGGCTTTGGGCAAGCTGCACAGTCCCAGGGAATGCCCTAAAGAAGGGGATGGTAAACCCCTTCTCTACCTAGAAAACCCTGGAAAGGATTATTGTAAGTCAGAATAATGATGATCAGTTGCCCCCCCAAAAAAACCTGCAGTGTAAGTTGTATAACTACACTGTTTACTAAGGGAAGAAGTGTTGTTGTGTATTTGTCTATAAGAATAATCAGAAATATTGGAAATAATTTTAAGAAGGACAGTCTATAGCAAGATAGGCAGTTTTCAAAAACCAGAGGGGAGAATTTGCTTAATGTTGTTGCTCTACGCCTTTCTCTAGCTGAGATGTCTATTGCACAGTAGAAATACTGAACTGCGCCAGCCTGAATAAGGCTGGAGAGCATCTGACAAGGTTATTTCATATTTCACATCTGCATCATTGATTCTAGTTGGCCAGGCTTTCTTTAGGTTTAATTATTTATTTACTGTATTTCTATCCCACCTCTCTCCTCAAAAGGGACTCAAGGTGGCTTAGAAATGCTAAAACCAGACACACAATTAAAGTAATTATAAATGGCATCATTAAAATATGATTTAAAAGCCACCAATTAAAGAGTTAAAAACTCAGAAAAAATTAAAGTGCCCTACATGTTTCACTAAAAAGTCACCATACCAAAGCACTGAGTTCCGAAAGATTTGCTTAAAAAGGAAGTTTTTTGTCTTTTAGCAGGACAACAGGGAGAGGGCTTGGGAAGGAATATAGGAACTCCTATAGTGTGGGAATAGCCACCAAAAACACACTCTCTCACATCTTCACCAAACATCTCTGTGAGAGCAGTGGGGATGACAAAAGGCCTCGTCTAAAGATTTCAAAAGCTGTAGAGAATTACATAGGAAGATACTTCAGTCATATAGGGCTTCATGTGTCATAATGAGTACAATGGTGCCTTGCTTGATGACGTTAATTCATTCCAGCGAAATCGCTGTAGAGGAAAAACGTCGTCAAGCGAAATAAAAAACCCCATTGAAACACACTGAAAAGCGTTCAGTGTGTTCCAATGGGTGAAATACCTGCTCGTCCAGTGAAGATCCTCCATATGGCGGCCATTTTCTGGTGCCTGCAATGTGAGGAATCCGTCCCTAACACAGCAAGGAGCCATTTTCTACAGCCAGCGGCCATTTTGAAACCCAACGATCAGCTGTTTGCTGATTGTCGTAAAGCGAAAAATCGGTTCCCAAAATGGGAACCGATCAACGTTAAGAGAAATTCCCCTATCTAAACATCATTTTGCGATCAAAAACTTCAACATTAAGCAGATTCATCGTCAAGCAGGGTAATCGTTCAGCGGGGCACCACTGTACTTTGAACCTGGCCTGGAAATGGGCCAATGAAGTTGTTGTACCAAAAGCTCTTCCTCCTACCATTATATCAAGGAATGCAAGGGACAGAGAAATTATAGAGTATTTCAAAGAGGCACAGGGTTTTCTGACTAGATAAAGGGATTTCTCTAACTCCTTAATTTCCTTATTTTCAGTCTTTTATGAAATGCCATTTCGTATCTTGTCCAATGCCAGCGACTGAACTCCTTCCTTCTTGTCTACCAAGAGGGTATCCTGGTACATTTTTAGATAAGGTGATTCTTTTTCAAACTAAATGTTCAAATGCCACTTTTTTCTGACTCTTCCATAATCCTGAGCTGTGAGTGCTTTTTTTGGCAGAAAAATGAGGTATGCATTTTAATAAATAAATAGTTTTCCATATCTGTAAGGTCAAAGTGCAATGAAAGACCAGTGTATAAGTGCCTTTCTACAAGTCAAGTGATAAAACTGAACACTTTTTTTTAATGGCACATCCCAACAACAGGTTTTCAGTACTATTTTGCAATATTTTAATGCAGAACACAAACAACATAATGCAGGCCAGTGGCAGTTCAAGTAAATTCATGCACAGTTCGGCCACTGATGCCTGTGAGCAAAAAATGTTGGTCTGCATGATTTCAAGCCATTCCTGGGATCAAGATTTGAGGAAATCACTCAGCTCTTTCCAAAAGCATAACAAAGCACTTCAGATGGTACAAACAGGAATATTGCTGTTTAACCCAATGATGCTCCATGGATTTATACATTTATAGTCGTATACATTGAAAGGCAGGTGGAAATACAAGTGTTCTGCTGGGCATCAACTGTTATACAAATGGCATTTGTTTTAAGAAACATATATATTTTAAGCAAATTATCCCTGAATGTTATTATGTACAATAGTGTGTGTATATATGTATCAATTTCTATATAAAATTTGCTTGGTTTAGCCAATTTGAGCCCTTCTAGAGTACATTAATCTGAACATATATCTTAAAACTTCCAGAAAGGGCCATGAGCTTCTTGTTAGCTTTTGTTTGGCAGGAAAAAAACCATAAAAGTTTTTTCCTGTTCTGTTCACTTCATCAAAGTCCAATAAAGGAATTAAATGAAGCGACACTATTATATACTGTTACCTAGATCTTGACCTAGTAATTGATTTGATATCCTTCTTGTCATCGTCTAACTTCTTGTCATCAGAAGACTTTGCGTCCTGGAGGTTTTCGTCTCCCTCATCATCAGATTTGATTTCCGAACTCCCTGAAGAGACACTTTGTCCTTGAAGTCCTGTTGGCATGCCTATGTGGGGAGAAATAAAATGATATAAATTTCCCAGTAACAGCACTTAAGCAAAACTGTAAAGGAATTTGTCAGCATGTTCCTCAGAAATGAAGCTACTACACACGGGTTTTTCCTTTCATTAATAGTAGAATTCTTTTGCAATAGGAAGTTTAAAGCCCCCTTTCCAGCTCTAAAATTGTGCCTCTGGTCTATTTTGCACTGCTTTGAAAGGAATAATAGTGTCATTGCCCACAAATCAACAGATCAGCTGCGCCAGGAGCTATGCCTAAAGCTAGCATGCAATTAGGCAAGCTTAAGTCCACTGAATCCAGTGGACTTAGAGCACACCTAACTTTGCACTGGTCTGAGGTTTACATGTGTGAAGATGATGAAGGGCAAGCAAAATACCAAGCAATAATACACCACGAAATATCTTCAACGGTGCTTGCTTTGAGAAAATGATCTACAGTTGTCCTTTGTAACTAAACTTCACCAAGCTCCAGGAACACCCTGCCACTGTTCCTGCTCTAGTAGGATGAAACCATGAGGTGGTGCAGCTGTCACATGCAGTTCTTGCCCTGGAGGCTTCCGGATAGTCTGTGGGCAGGGGATGGCCAGAACATGCCAAATGTGAGACTGCTCATATATATATATATATTTACTCTGGGGAAAATAGAAACCCAGTCTGTCAAACACGATATAGAAAAACAAATCATGGGAAAATCAACTGATGCTCTTCCAGCAAGTCTGTTACAAAACACGTTTGATCTCAGATTTCTATAATGTTACCCAATGGTAACATTTGATGTGGCTAAATATTTGCATATTTATTCAAATATATTGGATTATACTATTTTTTATTATACACATCATACTTTAACCACCGGGACATAGGGTTGTTACTACTGGTGCATGAGAGTGCAGCAATGATCTTCTGCTGGCAAAGCAAATCAATGTTCTACACGTATAAGACAATTCTAAAAATGGGAGCAGCCCAAACAAAATCTTGTGATATTTAAACAGGGCTTTGGATCAGGACCAAATGCAGCACAGTTGTAACACACAGTCTGCTCATGCTCTGCGCCAAATCTGGGGCAAAGAGTTTTAGATTTTTTTAAAAAAGTAAAACTGCTATCCCTGTTCAGAAACAGGCAACCTTACACATCTTACTCAATGTTAGCAGAGCTCTGGTGTCTATATCCTGTCACAGTCTCAACCATTCCACTTGTCTTGTCACTATATAAGTGCTTGGCAATAATAATTTAAAAAACCACCCAAAGATGTTATGTGCCATCAAGTCACTTCTGATGCGTGGTGACTATATGAGTCAATGACCTCCAAAATATCATATCATTCACAACTGTGCTCAGAATTTGCAAACCAACACCATATCATATTAGGTTGTGTTTTTTTATAATAATATAATTTATTGTCATTGTAAGTATATACACAGTATACTATACAACGAAATTCACATTTTTTACTGTTCTCTTTTTACTGTCCTTCCTAGCAATATTGCCTTTTCCAACAAGTTATGTTCGGGTCTTGCAAACAAATACTGTATGTGTTGCACTCACTCACACCTTTTTTCACCATTATATTAAGTCCAAAAACAGCCCTGGGTACTACAGACACATCCCAGGGGTTCTTGCTTCTGTCATCCCCAGCGAACATAGTACAGACTACGTGCTCATCCTGTGTGGTCCACTAACACTGGGTAATTCTACATGAGGGAAATTTTTGTCAGAATTTTTGTGCAGTATATGTATACTTAAACTTCCATGTCAAAAAGCTAGGGAATTCAATTCTTTAAAAACCCCTCCATTTTATGAACCTGGGACATTTGTTTTGTATCCATGACTCAAAACACCAGGAAATGACCTGATATTGCTGAACAATATTGTGCCTGTGTTGCTTGAAAGAAGGGGTTGTTTTATCATGTTTTTAATGGAAAATTTATAATTCTGGTTTTATGAAATTACAGTTGTATGTATTTATTTTATATTGTTCTGGTCTTGCTGGTCCTTGACTGTATCCTATCCTGTGTTGCTAGCAGGAAAAACGATGCAAAGTTTTTCACAGCAAAGGGCAATGTTGAATGTTGACAATACCAATGGCAGCAGTCAAAATGGTCTACCCTCTTGTACTCACTACCATTCACACTTGGTGAAAAACAGCCCTGACAGCTGCTGTGTGTTGAAGTGAGGAAGTGGCTAACAAAGGAAAAGAAGTCAGCTTTGGGGATTTTTTCCTTGCTTGGAATCTCTTTGTGAGTCGTAGGGAACACACTAATTTATCCTGTAAACCAGATGTTCCCAAACTTGGGTGACCCAGGTGTCCTTGGACTGCAATTCTCAGAAGCCTCCACTAGCTGTGCTGGCCTAGGTTTTTCAAAGTTGCAGTCCAAGAACAGCTGGATTACCCAAATGTTGGGAAACACTGCTGTAGACCATATCCTGACTGCTGCCACTGTTTCAGGCTGCCCTCGCTATGTAAAGTTTGGCATACTTCTAGCCACAGTGACACATGCCTTAGTTAGATCCTGGCTAGACTACTGTAACATACTCTACTTGGTGCTGCCTTTGGAAAGTGTTTGGAAACTTCAGTGGATACAAAATGCTGCAGCCAGATTGTTAACTGGAGTTGGTTACAGAGATCACATAACTCCCACACCCACCCCCAATTACAGTAGCTCCACTGGCCGCTGACCAATTTTTGTTCACAATTCAAAGCACTAGTTTTAACCTACGAAGCCCTAAACAGCTTCAGTCCAAGTTATTTCAAGGACCACATCTCCTTTTATGAGCCTGTCTGGGTTTTAAGATCCATCAGGTCCCAGCATCCTCACAGGTGCGTTTGGTGGGGACATGGGAGGGGGCCTTCTCTGTCACTGTTCCCAGACTCTGGAACTCCCTCATACGGGAGACCAGGCCGGCCCCATATTTGCTGTCCTTCCTCTAGCCAGGCTGGCCCCATATTTGCTGTCCTTCCTCTACCAGATGAAGATATTTCTCTATGGGCAGATTTTCCCTTAGTGACTGGCTGGATGAGAGGGAATTTTTTCAATTGTTGCTTTTAAATGTGTTTTCAGTATTGATTTTATTTCCACTTTTTAATATGACATTTAATTATTTTAAATATTTGTATACTTACAGTTTTTACCGTTTAAATACTATCTTTTTAATGATGTAAGTTGCTTTGGGTCCATTTTAACGAAAAGGCAGGGTAAACATATTTTAAATAAATTCCCTGTTGGCAATTCAGGCACAATATTGTGCCACTGGCCTCTCATTTTAAAGGCAGGGTAAACATATTTTAAATACATTCCCTGTTGGCAATTCAGGCACAGTATTGTGCCACTGGCGTTTCATTTTCTTCCTGCCATTTTGAAATATGGATGCAGAATCACAATATCCAACATTAATCAAACAGAGGGTTTTTTTTTAAAAAAAAGAATTGAATAGAAACATTTGCTAGTTTGCATAGAAAGGAGGAAAGTAGCTTCACTGGAAGCTGGAGATGAATTAAAGCACATCTCCAGTGAGATGGAAATATAGTTACTAATAGTATGTTGAGAATAGATTCTATTTTGCTGTATTGAGCCTGCTCTACAGGGCTAGTTACTAGAAAAGACTAGTCAAAGAATAAATGAGAAATGATGAAACGTTCAGATCCAGCAATGAGGTATGAAAACACGATACAGATGAGTGAGGGAGAGTAAACATGTAGGTAAAGTAAAACAGAAAGCGTATCTAAAGGTATCTATCAGGGGATATACAAACAGAAGTAATTTTACAGAGAAATAATTAACTAAACTAACCCAAAATCAATCAATTCTATACATACCCTTCTCAAAACATCTATGAGTCCTCCTGACCAATTAAACCAGATCAGGACTTCAGTCCATCTATTTCACTACTATGTGCATGGACTGAGAGCAGTTCTGAATTTCAGAGAAGTGTCTTCCTATCTCTATCTAGGAAGACATTAACCTGGAACTTTGTGCAGGCAAGATAAGGACTTTGAAACAGGGCTATAGTATTTTTTTTCTTAGGCTTCCTGGTCTACAGGCATTTTCTCTTAGGGCTTCTCATGTTTACAGAACTACATCCTGTTTTTCAGCTGAGCTCCAATGATGCCACATGTGATTTACCATATTTTTCCGTGTATAAGACGCCTCCACTTTTCTAACCCGAAATTAAGAAATCTAAGTGGACTTAGCAAGTGGAGGGGAAAGCAGGGATCAAAGCACTGCAGGATCATTTTGATCCCTGCTTTCCCCTCCACTTGGTTTTGTTCTCTTCTCAGCTTACTTCCGTGTATAAGATGACCCTCAATTTTTAGTATAAAGATTTTAGACAAAAGTATAGTCTTATACATAGAAAAATACAGTATTTAACAACATCACAGGATTTTTTTTCCAAGTATAGCAAACATTTGGGCAATGATGACAACTACTTGGATTAGAAATGTGGCAGTTAAGCAGTCCATAAGAAGAATATGTAACCTTTCAGTCTCTTCCGTGCTGATTAACTTCTGATTTTCTTCATCTATTCACATAACCTTGTTGCAGCACTTTTGTGAATCCATGATCAACCTAGCATTACGCTGTGATTGAGAAACCTGCATTTCTGAACTAACAGCCTATTCTAATTAACTGGTATATCAGCAAATGAAAGTGTATTTTCCCCCAGCAGCAATGCTGAAAGTTTTGTTGCTGTCATAGATATACTTCATTAGAAATGTGCACAGACACAGGCAATGCTAGTGCACTTACCTCGGTATGGATCTTGAGGCTGGTTTAAGTCAGGAGATGTGGCAGACTGTACTGGCAGCTGCGGAACGGGAACCTGGTTTGGCACAAGCGAATGGCTGCCACGGAGGCCAACTGCATCTTCACGATGAGCCCCAACCTGTAACAGGAGAGCAAAGGTGCAACCATTTCAGAAGCAGGAAAAAAACAAACAAACAAATAAATAAAAAAGGAACAACAATTGTTGGAGACAGTATGGGGGAAATGATGGAAATAAAAGGCAGGCAAGTTTAAATACCAGTAAGGTTCCCTGTAGGTTTTCACTAGAGGGCGCCGAGGCACTACTATAGGTACATACAATATGTATATGCAAAAACATTTAACACTCAGTAAGATGCTGTGCAGCACATTTAGTGACAAATATGGAATAGGAGCTCAGGCAGGTAAAACATCAAATTGTCTCTCCCAGGGTGCTGCAGTAGAGAGCACTGATTCGTACCCATCTGTCTTCTATCATGTCCGCCAACAGATCTGACAATTATCTTAATGCCCATATGCTTAATTGTGGGCTTCTCAATTCCCTCATTGCTATCAGAAATCCTGCAGGAATTTCAATTTGGCATCCGACTTTCATTTTAGGGGATAAGATTCCTGGGCCTGCCATTTCCCCCCTCCCTCTCCTACCTCCTGCATAATGCTTGCTAAGCCTCTGAGAGTAGAAGCTACTGAAGTATATGACATCCTCCACCTACCCTGATTTGGAGCAAATATATTAAAAGAATACCACCTGGCTTTCCAAAATCTAGAAGCCAAGACCCATTGTAAATTAATCTTCAGTGGTATGTCATTAGCCACAGAATTTCAGATCCAAAGGAGTACTGTTCTTGCCAACACTGTGACTCTGGATAATATATCAATAAAGGTTTTATTAACCACACCAGTAAAGCCATCATTGTAGGCATGATGGTGTCATCATAATGGTACTGGCATAATTGATGGGCCAGCTTAATAAAGTCTCCCACTTATTTTGTATGTCACACTGTTCTGTGCAACTGGAAGTTCAATCTGTTGCCGAATAAAGAGAAGGATACAAGAGCTTTTTGCATTTTTTAAAATAACACAATACAATCTCTTTATTTGAAATGGCTACGAGAAACACACTCTATGTCTGTCTGATCAGGAATTTGATTGAACAGAAAGGCTATTTTTAGACTTCTACTGCTACAGCTGCTACTACTACTAATAACTGAGTGCTTAAGGCACTGCAGTTAGGTGCTGAACTAAGATTAAACAATGAAATAAGAATCTGCCTGTGGGGCTTTGGTAAGTGAGCATATAAAGGAAGGAAGACAGGCAGGAAAACAGGGTCATTTAAGGGAAGATAGGGTGATGAGATGCATGTTGCTATTCCTTGATGAAAAAGAATAGCAGATGTCAGGTGAAAGAGCATTCCTACGGCACAGGGCTGCAGGGGGTAAGTCAAGCAGGTGGGAAATGAAACTAGCATCCTTGAGCTTATTTAAGATATTGGTACCAGTAAGAACAGTAAGAACCACATAAAAGAAGATAAAGATATAAACAGAATTCAAAACCCTCGGGCAATCAGTCAATGTGTGCAGATAGTCAGAATATGAACAGCACCAACCACCACCCCTCTGGAGTGGCTGCCAAGGGCATGGCCAGACAGTACAGTAGCATGAGAGGGCTTTGCCACTGAGCACATTTCTGCTGTTCTCTCACACACATTCATCTGAACAACGCTGTGGATGAACACATTGTAACCATGAAAGTTCAGGAATACAATTATCAGGGTGAGATAATGAAGCAGCCATGATTTTCAGAATTTAAAACCCTCTCCCTGTTCTCAAAGGCTTCTCCAGGAACAAAGATACCCTAAGGTTGCCCTGGAACATATTATTAACAAAATATGGCCATGGCTGATGATGTCATCAAGTTTATATGGTGTCATGTATATGATGTAACACTTATATAGTGTAACTTTTACCTTACTAGATTTAGCCAATGACATTTATCTGAGATATCCTTTTTTACTATGAACACGGCTTCATAGTTTCTGAGCGTCCACACAATACGGTATCTAGATTCTCTAATCACAGAGATGTCTAGAGGTGTCTAGAATGAAGTCTAGTGGCATTATTATTTTAAATATAAAAAAGAGTGAGGAAATTTTCTAATCAGACATCTATGACAGTATCCTGTAACTGTTACCGGGAAGGCAAGACTGGAACATTGATTCAAGAGAATACTATCAAAGAAGAATTAAGCTCCATCTCAAAAGTGGTTCTTTTAAAGGAGAAAGGTGGGGTAAAAACAAACAAACAAACAAACAAAGAAATGGGCAAAAAATAAAATTTAAGTAGGCAGAATGCACTGAACAAAAAGCAAACATGAATGAATCATTCTTCTTTATTGTTTTTTCATCATCATCATCACCATCTTTATTTCTGGAAAACTGGATGATGACTAGGATTTGGCAGTGGCATAATGAGCTTTTGAAATAAATGAGAGGAACAGGGCAAAGTTAATAAATAGCAAAGATTTAACAAAGACATATGACTTGGATTGGGGTGAGAAATAAAAATGTAGCTACTTCTTTTATTTCTGTGAAAAAACATAGTTTGGGCATTTAAAGCTCCAAACATTTGTTTTCATTCTTGGGCAGAGCTAATGTAAGAGTGATAACAATGACATCTGGATTTGCCTTCTGATTTAAAAAATAACTTTAAAAAAGGAACATATTACCATGACAATGGAGCAGATCACTCCCAACTAACATAAAAATGTCCTCTATTTTGAAAGGCCTCTCAACACATTTGAAGACTCTACCAAACTGAAGCCAAAACCATTGACAAGACACTATAAACTACTAAGACGAGCCTCATTAACATGAAAGGAAACGAACAGGATCACACCAACCATTTTCCATCAGGCGCAGGGAAGAACATTTTCCAGCAGACTACACCCATGAATTTTTTTAGTTTTATTTTTAACTACACAAGGAAAAAAAGAACTGAAGTAGAGTGATGAATAACTTGTTGAAAAGAATCTTTTAGTACTTTAATAATCACTAAACTGATTGTAGTATGAAGTAGACTAGACAACTATCTGTTTAAATAGTGAAAAAACTCCTAGACCTGTATGTATGTTCAGCAACAAAGATTTCTGAATATCCTGGCTGAGTTTCACTCTCTGATGGTTTCGGTCTATTGTAGCTGGTACATATTATTTATTTATTTTTTTGTTTCTGGAGTCCAGTCCCAACCAACCTTTTGAATATGAGGAAAGTCAGATTTGTCTGCTCATGGCAGAGAACTGAAAAGAAGCATGCCTGACTGAACAGAAAGAGGGAAAATATTAAACATTTGCTATTTCTCAGCATATATGCAGTTTTGAGGATATGTCCTATATCTATTCCTAGCAAAAGAGGTAGAAGTGGAAAAAATATTTTTCACAACAGTAGAGAAAGGTGGAAAACTCAATGAGCTTGTTTCAAATGGTACATTTCTCACCCACTTAGTAACAAAATTGAGCCATAAACCCACAGGAGGAGAGGAAGACTAGATTCAGCTATTGGTTCAAAGCACCAATGTTCTGTAAAGCATGGATTGCTCTGTTTCCGTGTAATTTGAGTACAGTCCAGAAGGTCAGGCTGGGCACTGTCAAGCTGCTTGCAGCCAGCCTTAAAGGCTTCCAGACGTAAAGAGCCCAATTTATTCCTGGTGAACTTCCAACGATGGCAACAGAATTATGTCAAGGCCAGCTGGTGCGTAAAGGATTCATTCAATTCCACTTTGCTTTTGCAAACACTGTCTGTCTATATACAAATACAAGAAGCTGCTTTTTACTAAGTTGGACCAGAGGTTCATCCAGTCCAGAATTACCAACTCAGACCGGCAGCCATTTCTCCAGCTTCAAGGCTGCTCTGTCTGCCATGGCACATGCTCTATAACTAAACTCCTCTTCTGTTATTATATGACTTCTATTGGTGTTAAACTCTCTGTCTTCTTTCATTTCACATACAGTGGACCCTCTACTTACGGAATTAATCCGTATTGGAACAGTGGCTGCAGGTCGAAAAATCTGTAGGTCAAGTCTCCATTGACTTACAACGCATTGAAAACCGATTAATCCGTAACCAGCCATTTTTGTTCCATTTTTGTTCCATTTTGGTTTTTTTCTGGTCTGTAGGTCGATTCTCCGGCTGCAAGTCGAACCTAAATTTTGCGGCCATAGAAGTCTGTAACTCAAAAAGTCTGTAAGTCGAGCCATCTGTAAGTCGAGGGTCCACTGTATTACACTCACATGACCTTCTCAAATAGATGATACACCTGTACACATTTATTTAAAAAAAATCTCCAATGAAAACCTTCTGGGTTTACTTGTATTCATTTATTTCAAAAGATTTAAACTAGTAAGTAAAATCTTTCTGTTTTCTTGCCAGAAAATAAAATAAAACATTCTCTCTTTTTGTTTGCTTATCCCTAAAAGAACAAAATGAACTAATGGATATCAGCAGCAACTTTAAATTGTGAATTAGCTTCTTGCATAAAGAGTTACTCAGCAATATATTTAGTAGTAAGGATGTAATGATATTTGCATAATTGAATAATTTTCTCGTTCTCAATGAGAAAAGGTATCTTGACACAGCACAACTTCCTGGCAAAAAACCCCTGTGAACTGCTGTGAATGTTTTGTTGTTGTTGTTCCTGCATAAGAGTGAAAATACACAACTTTTGCATCTGCAGCAGAACCTAGAAATCTTAAATTTTGCACAGGAAACTTGCATTGTGCAAAAACTCCATTGTATTTTGTGGAAAATATAAGGTTTTTTAAAATACAAAATGTAAGATTTTTCCCCAAAGGAAATACTTCAATGAAACATTTGGGAAAAAACAAACAAACAAATAAACACATTCCAAAATGCAAAATAACATTTTTAAAAATGAAAAAAAATATATAAAGAATTAAAGTAGAAAAATAAAAATTCATAAAAATTGTAATATTTATCCAGTGTGGCAAAAATGTTCAAATGTTTCATTCTCACCACTGTGAACAAAATGAGTGAAGGTTAAGATCCATGTTCACATACTAATGTTGCTCAATAAGCTACCATTTAGGAGAGGTATAGCAAGCTTCTTT